TTTTTTTTTACGTTTTTATTGCCTTACTATACTATGACGTTTTATGCCTTACTATAGTATGACGTTTTTTGACATTTCCTGCCTTACTATACTATGACATTTTTTGACATTTTTATACCTTACTATACTTTGAGGTTTTTTTTACATTTTTATTGCCTTACTATACTATGACATTTTATGCCCTACAATAGTATGACGTTTTTATGACATTTTATGCCTTACTAAAATTTGACTTTTTTTTTTACGTTTTTATTGCCTTACTATACTATGACGTTTTATGCCTTACAATAGTATGACGTTTTTATGACATTTTATGCCTTACTAAAATTTGACATTTTTTTTTACGTTTTTATTGCCTTACTATACTATGACGTTTTATGCCTTACTATAGTATGACGTTTTTTGACATTTCCTGTCTTACTATACTATGAAATTTTTGGACATTTTTATATCTTACTATACTTTGACATTGTTTTTAACGTTGTTATTGCCTTACTATACTATGACGTTTTATGCCTTACAATAGTATGACGTTTTTATGACATTTTATGCCTGACTATACTATGAAATTTTTTGACATTTTTATACTTTACTATACTTTGACGTTTTTTTTTACGTTTTTATTGCCTTACTATACTATGACGGTTTAGGCCTTACTATAGTATGACGTTTTCTGACATTTCCTGCCTGACTATACTATGAAATTTTTGGACATTTTTATATCTTACTATACTTTGACATTGTTTTTAACGTTGTTATTGCCTTACTATACTATGACGTTTTATGCCTTACAATAGTATGACGTTTTTATGACATTTTATGCCTGACTATACTATGAAATTTTTTGACATTTTTATACTTTACTATACTTTGACGTTTTTTTTTACGTTTTTATTGCCTTACTATACTATGACGGTTTAGGCCTTACTATAGTATGACGTTTTCTGACATTTCCTGCCTGACTATACTATGAAATTTTTGGACATTTTTATATCTTACTATACTTTGACATTGTTTTTAACGTTGTTATTGCCTTACTATACTATGACGTTTTATGCCTTACAATAGTATGACGTTTTTATGACATTTTATGCCTGACTATACTATGAAATTTTTTGACATTTTTATACTTTACTATACTTTGACGTTTTTTTTTACGTTTTTATTGCCTTACTATACTATGACGGTTTAGGCCTTACTATAGTATGACGTTTTCTGACATTTCCTGCCTGACTATACTATGAAATTTTTGGACATTTTTATATCTTACTATACTTTGACATTGTTTTTAACGTTGTTATTGCCTTACTATACTATGACGTTTTATGCCTTACAATAGTATGACGTTTTTATGACATTTTATGCCTGACTATACTATGAAATTTTTTGACATTTTTATACTTTACTATACTTTGACGTTTTTTTTTACGTTTTTATTGCCTTACTATACTATGACGGTTTAGGCCTTACTATAGTATGACGTTTTCTGACATTTCCTGCCTGACTATACTATGAAATTTTTGGACATTTTTATATCTTACTATACTTTGACATTGTTTTTAACGTTGTTATTGCCTTACTATACTATGACGTTTTATGCCTTACAATAGTATGACGTTTTTATGACATTTTATGCCTGACTATACTATGAAATTTTTTGACATTTTTATACTTTACTATACTTTGACGTTTTTTTTTACGTTTTTATTGCCTTACTATACTATGACGGTTTAGGCCTTACTATAGTATGACGTTTTCTGACATTTCCTGCCTGACTATACTATGAAATTTTTGGACATTTTTATATCTTACTATACTTTGACATTGTTTTTAACGTTGTTATTGCCTTACTATACTATGACGTTTTATGCCTTACAATAGTATGACGTTTTTATGACATTTTATGCCTGACTATACTATGAAATTTTTTGACATTTTTATACTTTACTATACTTTGACGTTTTTTTTTACGTTTTTATTGCCTTACTATACTATGACGGTTTAGGCCTTACTATAGTATGACGTTTTCTGACATTTCCTGCCTGACTATACTATGAAATTTTTGGACATTTTTATATCTTACTATACTTTGACATTGTTTTTAACGTTGTTATTGCCTTACTATACTATGACGTTTTATGCCTTACAATAGTATGACGTTTTTATGACATTTTATGCCTGACTATACTATGAAATTTTTTGACATTTTTATACTTTACTATACTTTGACGTTTTTTTTTACGTTTTTATTGCCTTACTATACTATGACGGTTTAGGCCTTACTATAGTATGACGTTTTCTGACATTTCCTGCCTGACTATACTATGAAATTTTTGGACATTTTTATATCTTACTATACTTTGACATTGTTTTTAACGTTGTTATTGCCTTACTATACTATGACGTTTTATGCCTTACAATAGTATGACGTTTTTATGACATTTTATGCCTGACTATACTATGAAATTTTTTGACATTTTTATACTTTACTATACTTTGACGTTTTTTTTTACGTTTTTATTGCCTTACTATACTATGACGGTTTAGGCCTTACTATAGTATGACGTTTTCTGACATTTCCTGCCTGACTATACTATGAAATTTTTGGACATTTTTATATCTTACTATACTTTGACATTGTTTTTAACGTTGTTATTGCCTTACTATACTATGACGTTTTATGCCTTACAATAGTATGACGTTTTTATGACATTTTATGCCTGACTATACTATGAAATTTTTTGACATTTTTATACTTTACTATACTTTGACGTTTTTTTTTACGTTTTTATTGCCTTACTATACTATGACGGTTTAGGCCTTACTATAGTATGACGTTTTCTGACATTTCCTGCCTGACTATACTATGAAATTTTTGGACATTTTTATATCTTACTATACTTTGACATTGTTTTTAACGTTGTTATTGCCTTACTATACTATGACGTTTTATGCCTTACAATAGTATGACGTTTTTATGACATTTTATGCCTGACTATACTATGAAATTTTTTGACATTTTTATACTTTACTATACTTTGACGTTTTTTTTTACGTTTTTATTGCCTTACTATACTATGACGTTTTATGCCTTACAATAGTATGACGTTTTTATGACATTTTATGCCTGACTATACTATGAAATTTTTTGACATTTTTATACTTTACTATACTTTGACGTTTTTTTTTACGTTTTTATTGCCTTACTATACTATGACGTTTTATGCCCTTTTATGCCTTACAATAGTATGACGTTTTTTTGACATTTTATGCCTTACTAAAATTTGACATTTTTTTTTACGTTTTTATCTATGACGTTTTATGCCTTACTATAGTATGACGTTTTTATGACACTTAATGCCTTACTAAAATTTGACATTTTTTTTTACGTTTTTATCTATGACGTTTTATGCCTTACTATAGTATGACGTTTTTATGACATTTTATGCCTTACTAAAATTTGACATTTTTTTTATGTTTTTATTGCCTTACTATACTATGTCATTTTATGCCCTTTTATGCCTTACAATAGTATGACGTTTTTATGACATTTTATGCCTCACTATACTATGAAATTTTTTGACATTTTTATTGCCTTTCTATACTATGACGTTTTTATGACATTTTATGCCTTACAATAGTATGACGTTTTTATGACATTTTATGCCTTACTATACTATGAAATTTTTTGACAGTTTTATACCTTACTATACTTTGACGTTTTTTTTACATTTTTATTGCCTTTCTATACTATGACGTTTTTATGACATTTTATGCCTTACAATAGTATGACGTTTTTATGACATTTTATGCCTTACTAAAATTTGACTTTTTTTTTACGTTTTTATTGCCTTACTATACTATGACGTTTTATGCCTTATAGTATGACGTTTTCTGACATTTCCTGCCTTACTATACTATGGAATTTTTTGACATTTTTATACCTTACTATACTTTGACGGTTTTTTTTACGTTTTTATTGCCTTACTATACTATGACGTTTTATGCCCTTTTATGCCTTACAATAGTATGACGTTTTTTTGACATTTTATACCTTACTAAAATTTAACTTTTTTTTTCACGTTTTTATTGCCTTACTATACTATGACGTTTTATGCCTTACAATAGTATGACGTTTTTATGACATTTTATGCCTTACTAAAATTTGATATTTTTTTTTACGTTTTTATTGCCTTACTATACTATGACCTTTTATGCCTTACTATAGTATGACGTTTTCCTACATTTCCTGCCTTACTTTACTATGAAATTTTTTGACATTTTTATACCTTACTATCCTTTATGCTTTTTTTGACATTTTTATGCCTTACTATACTATGACGTTTTAAATGACAATATATGCCTTACTATACACGGCCTTTATCTTTTTCTCTGACTTACTAGACTGTTATGACCAGCTCAATTAACATTTAACATTCAAGGGAGGTCCACACAGTAGGCTTGAGTTAAAGTGATATTTCTTTTAATGCAAAAGGATAACAAACATAGTTCACAGGATGTGAGGTCAGTTATCAGTGTGTGGTGGAGGTATATGTTTGTCTTGTGTGTGTTGTATGGTAGACACCAACAAAAAAAATTAACAACAAATGAAGAGACTGTCAGGGGGTCTGCTGTCCTGGGAGAGAGAGCCAGAAGCTTGAGGAAACCTGGCTTTTATGCCCTTCCTCACAGGTGCAGCCAATCAACAACCTAAGGTGGGTGGAGTCTCCTAGGAACCAGGAAGCCAGGCAATGCAAACCCAACCAGGAGACCAGGGCATAGCAGACATGGCATTAAGCATAGGAGCGGGTAGAACACCTGTAAAAGAGGACAGAAGCCAGCAAGCCAGGGCAACACATGCGGCTGGGGCCATCACAATACTATGACTTTTTAAGCCTCACTATTATATGACTTTTTTGCCTTACTATATATTGACAATTTTGTGCCTGACTATACTATGACCTTTTACTGCTTTACTGTACTATGACTTTTGTCGCCTTACTACACTATGACTTTTTATGTTTTACCATACTGAGAAATGGCTTACCTGAAAAATAAAATTGGCTTAAAAATTATGTTACATTAATACAAATCTCAGATGTGCTGCTAATGAAATATTTTTAATTAAGTGTAATTTACTTAAATACTGATAGTGGTCATAAACCTGACAAAGTGACAAGTACCAATACAACAAGGTCCATTACTGTGGCAAAAAAATATGATCTCAGTAATTCTGAGTAGTTTGCCTTTTGTCTTTATTCGTTCATGCTGTGTGAATTTTTCATTTGAAATAAGAGATGATATGTGGCATTATTCAGCCACATCTACTATGAGGGGTGAGATGTATTCTGAGTGACGCAGTCCAAAGGAGAAGCTTGGAGCTTTTGCTCTTGTGACGGTCACCTAGGAAGAGAAAAGTTTCAGTAAATGAACAAAATGCAAAATATTTTTGGCCTGTATGATAATTAAATGAGGCATAATGGGGTTTCTTACATTCTCAGGATAGTGCGTGCCAGGTCCTGGTTTCCTTGTAGTTTCACCAGGAGCAAAGTTGCGGCCTGTCATGCTGAAATGGGGTGGTTTTTGCCTGTAAATACAAGGGTCCACAACTTTGTAGGCAGCAGGGCCAGGAGTCTGGGGGAAAAACAAAGTATAGAGAACAAGGATAAATCACAAGAATTCTGCATTATTTTAAGAAAATTGCTCTCATGACTGTGAGTATGTACCTTCTTCAGATCCTCATGGAAGCTTCCAGTTTTGCTGCGGCCACAGAGGGAGTAGGTGGGAGCTGCAGATGTAGCCACAGTTTTGGGCCCCAGCACAGGAGGCAGATTGTACGAGGCTGGACCTGCAGAATGAGCCAAAGCTGAAGTTTATATTCTTTGTGCCATGAAACTTTGTAAATCACAACTCAATTCAAGATGACACACAAATACAATATGTTACCAGGTGTTTTGTGAGTGCTCATGTCTTTGCTCCTCCCAGACAGAGAATAAGCAGGAGCAGAGCGGAAGATGGACCTTCCTGAACGCTCTGGGGAGTAGCGGCCTGCACACCAAAGACACACACCAAATTTATATAAAAATACTGCTGACAGGCAAACTCAAATCACAATAGTCTGCATCCAAACAAAACCAGCATATTGTCAACTTCTGATGGGTAGTTTGCATGTATATAAAATCAGCAGTATTTTATTTCCATGTGCTTTTACAAAGTATATTCTAATGTGTGAGGGCTGACCTGGTCCAGGGGCCTGGAACAATCTTGGCTCCTTTGGGCGACTGTGGAGAGAAAATGCAGGAGTGCCGTCTCGGCCATCTCTGGTGATGTTGGAGGGAACAAGGTATCTTGGTCCAGGGGAGCAATCAGGACTGGTCTGGTTATGAAGTTTACCTAAGCTGAACACTGGTGCTTTGTATTTGGTAGGGTCATGTTTATTGACACCTTTATTGCAAGAAACAAGGACAGACAATGTCAGTACTAATAATGGTGTTTGTGGTGAAAAAAGGCTTAATGGTCATTTTGGCCATACCTGTGAGTCCAGGCAGTGCATACTTGGGTCCCGGGCTACGATAGAGAGCGGCTATAGGCCCTCTTGGCTTGTGGGGCCTCCAGGATCCAACCCAAGGTTCAGCACTAGCCATTACCTTGAGAGAAAGAGATAGATTGAAACCAAAAGAAAATTGGTAAATTGGCTTTTAAGTCAATAAAAGAATGATAATAGGAATGCTTCTGCTGTCCCTGATACCCTGCAGTGCAGAGAGAAAGAAGTCATTTTAAAAAGCCAAAAATGCACTGATGCATGGGGAGGTCATGGTATAAAAACAATTGATATTGAATTAGTAAATATTGGTTAGAATGAAATACTGCAACAGTATTAGAATTGCTTGAAGTGAATATTCTCTCTGATTCTCTGCTGCACCTGCTAACACTTGGGATACTTTACAACAAGTTCTATAAGAGAGGGTATTATGGAAAATAGTTGGGGTTGATTTTGTTGTTAGAAATGTATCTGAGGTGCTGTTGAAGCCTGAGGCTGGCACTCCTTACTGTTCCTGATGTGATGGAAGTGCATCATTTAAACATTCTGCACCATGAGCTGCTCCTCATTCTGATGTCACCAGGAAATGCAATATCACCACCCAATCACAGCAGTAGTTTTTGAACAATAATAATAGCAGTAATGATGAAAAAAAATATCTAAACTTTATATTAATTTTTGTAATATTAATCTCTCTATTTCTGCGCAAAGCAGCAAGCTAAGTTACTGGATCATAAATCATTCCACTGGCCAACTTGCTGGTAGCAGTTTATGTATGTTGTTACACAGCAGTGAAACTTACAACAGTTCATTTAGGTAATTTAATGAACTAGTTACATTATAGGGAAGCTGCTATTTGTCAGTATATACATACAGGGTAATTTGCAGGTAAAGCAAAACCAATGCCACACCTGAATCAGTACAGTATGTTTTACAAACCCAGAGTAGCCTGTCACAAAACCACAAGATGTCTACAAACAGTAACTGCAGTTCATTTAGACGTCAAATAAATAGATAATTGATTGTACCTTATAGAAATCCTGTGATCCTGTCGCGAGTGTCCTTCTATGTCAGGTTTTATCCCCGGAACTCAGCATGTGCACTGAACCCAAACACAGATTGTTTAGTGGTAGTCAACTTCACTATGACAACGTTGCCATGGAGATGACTCTTTGACAGGCATGTCTATGAATATGTGTGTGTGTGTGTGTGTGTGTGTGTGTGTGTGTGTGTGTGTGTGTGTGTGTGTGTGTGTGAACAGTGTAGGAATTTACAAAATGTGAATACATAAAGCACAGTGTGGAGATGGTGTAAATGATTTATTAGGTATAAAAGGCTGTAACAGGCCAGAGGGTCCCACTGTGACAGTTTGGTTAGATTTAATCTGATTGTACTAAGGTACAGTAGATTACATACTATTTAAAGTAGACATTCAACAATATACATTACAATAAAGCATTGTATTGTGTCTCAAATTCTAATTTGGGGGCTTTATCTCACGTTTAACAACTGTTCCATGACAATATGCAGAAGTGCCTCATGGCATAGGTGAATTAGGCCAAGGGTCCCAACATTTGCATCCACCTGATTTTTTTTTTCTTTTTCTTCTTTCTTTTTTTCATAGCTCATAGGCTGTTTGATTGTGGTTTCAAGGATATATTCATGTTCAAATATGAGAGGGTTGGATCTGAGAGTCTTAATCTGTAAACACACAAGTTTAATATTTGTACCTATTGTTCATTAAGGGCAATGAATGCTCAAAATTATATGAATGTAAAAAGAAATTCTCAGCCAATTAGCCAAGATTTAATGAAAAAACTTTGTATCTGCTTGAAATGAACAGTCATCTTATGCTCCATTACATTTTCATGCATGCATTGAGCCTTATGAGTGGTTTAGTATGTCAAAATATGAGCAACTGATGATGATTGATTGATCATGATTTATGCTTCTGGCCCTGACTGTCACCAGCATACCAGAGAGAGGAATTCATATTATAATTATCGTTATTATATCATAGTAATTATTATTTATCATTATTTACATTTTAGCAAAGTTAGCTATTTATTTGATGTATCTAAAAATATAAAGCCAGCTGGTTTTGAATCTAAATCCACTGTGTTCTTGTTGTGTGTTCATTTTGTAAATAGGAAGATTTAATTAGGTGGTAACAGTAAGATGCATATGGGGATTCCCTCACCTAGGGCTGCAAAAAGGTTGAGACTGGTCCTAATCAGCCTTTTCACAGCAGACATGTTAACCTGTTACAATAGGAAACATCTTACTAAGGTATTTCTATTAACATTGATCTTGGCTCTGTTCTGTTCTCAGGTTCCCAGTGGGTCATGGCAGTGTGACAGTGACCAGCAGCCTGAAACTGAAGCAGCTAAATATAATTCATCTTTACACCTGAGCTTTTCCTGTGACATGTCAAAAATGTCGATCATGAAAATTACACCTCCTGACTTTGTCCACAATCAGGTGTCCTGGATGAAATACTGACTTTTTTCAAATGAAAACTGCTGTGAAAATTGTTGTTCTAATATGGATTTTTCTTCATAGTGTAGCATTGGTGCTGCAGGCCCTCATGAGGTATCTGCAGTTGTGGAAAGTTTCTCTCAAACTGGACTTCAGGAGCTTCATCAAAGTTGCAAGGTTTCCCATTTCCTCTTGGGGGCGCTATTGGTAAAAAGAAACAAAAAAGGCAATTATTGAACTATTACGCCCTCATATTAAAGTGTTGCAGCAGCAGCAGCACACACACACACACACACACACACACACACACACACACACACTTAGACATGATATAATTCTATAGTCTTACCCTTGTAAGTGCTCGAATCAGCCGTTGTAGCACTGCATCCTCTCTGTGTGGACACAGGCTGGTCACTGTACCCACACAGCTCAACAGACAATAGATGGTGTGTTTCTGTGGCTGTAATAATATTTAAAATATTTTTTTTTTCAGAGTGCAAAGAGTGCAAACAACAGACAAAGGCTTTTGCATGTGTGTCCTTACCTTCTTGAGCACACTTAGAGGCTTCCTGTTTTTTGCTCCAATACACAACCTGTCTACATCCTCTGCACTCAGAACAGGCTCCTGGATTAGGTTGGAGGAAGCATAAATATTGAGAGAGGAATTTTTAAGACAGTATGGGAAGTGCAAACTGAAATTCAGAATATCAACGTGTCTTTTGGCTAGACTGCAACAATGGGGCTAGCCCTATAATCATGACCATATCTGGTCCAGCAATATACTAGATTTTGACACAATGTTATAACTTCATAGTTCCTGGACAAATTGAGATTACTGGCATTATGGCTTCTTGTTTGGTGGCACTGACCCTTAACTTCTCCAGCCAGGTCCACAAAAGACAACTGAGAACATGAGGATCTGACTCAGTGACCATCAGAGCCCATCCACAGTCACTACTGTTCAGCTCCTCCTGTTGAAAAGATGAGTGAGGTCAATTTTAGAGGTCAAAAGTTATATGTTCTGCTGTAAAAAATAGTTTCACACCACGGCTTTCCTTACCTGCAGCAGAGCCGACCTTTGCAGTATGGTTTCTCCTGGAGGACCTTGTTCTGCCATTGCCTTAGCAACAGCACGGGCCCCTGAGGTCGGGCATGAATTATCTGGATTTCTGCACAACTTTATATGACAGAGATCACAATGTTTTAATGCATTCACATTTTCTTTATCATCAGCTTTTTTTCACAGCAGGAATCGTAATTACCTCAATGTTGGAGCTGTATTTGGGAAGCACCTTTTTCGCTGCACATTTCAAACTCTTATCACAGTTGTTGCTTGTTTTCATGCTGGAAACCGGGATGTTAAGTGTATGTGACTCCTTTTTGGAGGTCTTACGACCTTGTGAAAGTGTGGCAAAGATCGGACTAACTGGTCTCAGATCAGGTCGTATGAGATCCTCCACACACCAGTGTCTCTCATTTCCAAAAGCTGGGGTGCAGTGTGGACTCGGCTCCAGATCCTTCAGGACAGAATGCAACAAATTGAGAAAAGCCTCAATGATCAATTTGATTTAACAGAAGACATATGGATAATTCATTTATGTAAGTCTGGTTGCATAATGAAATTTAACCTCATTTACTGTGATCTTGCTGAGGTCAGAGTCACTGTAGCTGCGTTTGTCCAGCAGGACCTCTCTCTTCCTCTCCAAGAATCCCAGCGGCTCATCCCAGGAGAACACGGACCCTGAGCCCACCCATGAGCCCTTATGGCCCTCCCTTAGCAAGGGCAAGTACTGTTTGGCCACCAGAGTCTCCCTCACAGTCCTGCTCAGGGTCCTCAGTGCTGACCTCTTTTCCAGCTCAGCATGGACCTCGGGTGGAGCAGGGAGACCCAGGGCTAAGCAGGAAATACGCACACACAGGAGGTACACCACCTTAAGAGATGGTAATGAGGCCGTCAGAAAGGAGGAAGAGGTAAACTACGTTCATGACGCAAGATTAATGTAGTAAAATGATCAAGTACTCACCTTTGGTGTTTGTCTGAGGGTGCGTGCCTCCTGGCCATGCAGCAGTAGAGCCTGACGGTTTAGATAGTGCTGCAGGGTGAAAGGGGCTCCATGCCGCAGGCTGAGGTCGGGGTATTGGACCAGCTGTGTACCAAGCAAACGAGCAAAGTCAAACACCTGGCTGATCTGTGCCCGGGTTTGGATAGAGCGAGGCCGTTTAATCCGCACGTAGTGGACGGCCTCACTTGGGCTAATGCGCAGGGTGTAGATCAAGTAACAGGCTATCAGCACGCCTGTTGAGCAGCAAAAACACAGTGGCAAACACAGTGAATACACATGAGGACATTACATGTGCACAAGCTGACAAACACAGTGTTGACATGAACAGCAGATATGATTTGTTTGTTTATTCCTACCTGTCCTGCCCAAGCCTGCATGGCAGTGCACAGCCACTCTTCCTTCCCTCACTGCAAAGGCCAAAACCTTCACCCCATCAATTATGCCAACGAGAGAGGACACACCAAAATCCGGCATCGCAAAGTTGTAAAAGTAAACTGCAAATATACAAATATGTGCACACATGAATACATATATATAAACATGTCAACAAACATGTAAATTCATATGGATGTTCTATCTTCGATCTTCTATGTTGTGTATTTAATGTATCAAGATCTCACTGTCATTGTCCATGAAGATCTGTGGAGAGTAAGTAAATCCACTTTCAGAGTCTAGGGGAGGTCCACAGTGAGCGTGCTCTCCTGGGAACTGCATGTTGATGATCGATCTGATGTTCAGCCTGGGAAAAAGTCAAAATTATGAAGGTGACTGTGTGTGGCTGTGTAAGTAATACTACTTGTTACTTAAGAAGACAATGTCCAGGCTCATAATTCCTACAACTACTCTTGTATCATGCATATCCACACACTGCACAGACAAACAGGAGAACAACAAAAATACAGTACTGCGGGAATAATAATGAACACTGATTACCTTCGAAACTGATCTATGATGTTGTACTTCTCAATTAAATGATTGGATGGTCGTGCCATGGCAACTACGTCATCTGTCACCCTAGGATAGAGAGAAGTTCATGATCATCAAACTACCATTTACCCTTTTTTCATTTTATTTTTTTTGCTATATCACATAACAAAGCAACATCTATGATACTGCAGTCCAACAGTCTTACCAGGAGGAGAAAAGGCCTCGAATAACCTGTTGGTTTAACTTCCAGCACTCTGGTCCTTCATAGCGACAGTCTACTCCTCCACAAGCAAGCAGACACAGGAGTCTGGGTGGGATAGCCTTCACCAGGTTCTCTCTGGCCTGGGAATAGGAAGGTCGTGGTACTGGTATGTGCGGGTTCAACGTCGGCATCATCCTGCACCAGAGGAAACCCCCAAGATCAGCCTTCACTATCCCACCGTAGATATAAAGGATTATGCCCCAACTGGGCTACCTGGCAGCCTCATATCACCTTCTTTTCATGTTGAAATTAATGAGGTACTGCAGGCCACTAAAAAAGGGCCTTTGACAAAGATACACCTTGTTAAACTGACAATTTTGGTACTTGTGTGTCTAGTTGTGTCTGGAAAATATATTGAGCAGAATAAAATGAATGATTTAAAAAAAAAAAAGCCTTACCTTTCTGATTATGTTGCACAGTGAAGTTATAAATCCCATGAATATGTTTTCATAAACCAAGAGTGCAAGGAAGAGAAGGGAAAGGGTGATGGAAGCAGTAGAACACACATGTGCTCCTCAATGCTGACCCACTCTGCTGCTTACAGATACACATACTAACAAAACTGTGCTGACCCAGCTTTGCTAAGCCTGATTAGCTGTCATAAATACATTAGAACAGACATTCACACATGATGGCAAGCCTATTATATAATGCTTATACCTTCACCTGTAAACACTGTGTATGAATGCCCTAATTACCTGGTGCCTGCTAAAGCTTTATACATGATTTTACTACTGTTAATAAACACCAATAGGGTTTGTGTTTACTCTGCAAGAACAATGTATGGTTGTTCATGTATCCTGGTCTTGTATCAAAACACACCATCAATCTCTCACTTCCTAATATCTGAACAGATTTAAACGATACTACTGTGGATGAGTGGAATGATGACTTTGAAAGAAGCAGCTATCGAGAAATAATTTTAAAAGCGTATTTCTCTGAATTTTAATGTTGGTAGAAAGTCTTCATCTTAATGACCAAAAGTGACAAAAAACTGACACACATCATAGGCTATGTATTTGTCCTATCAGTGACTTTGTACATCTCCTCATTCCTGTGGGACTGGCTCTGGACATATCACCCCCTGCAGTGCAGCAATGGGAACAGCATGATAATGATTGGAGTCTATCTCAGGGTGAAACTGTTATTTCAATAAAAATAAAGATTGTGTCTTCACATTTGTAAGAGAAAAGTATATGGCTACACATTTTAGGGCAGACAGAGTGGGGTTCCATGGTAAGCATCCCCAGGTGTGACCTGCATAATGTTATCCAATATCCATGCTAAGAAGCAAAAGATGTTTTATGTTTTGTAGTAAAGACAATTTAGAAATGATTTTTCTTTTTTTTGCAGTCTGACTATAATTTGGCGTTTCACATTATAAGAGTAATTCAGAGATTATTGGAGCATAAAACTATATCAATGTTAAATAAAATCAGGACAGAAAGGACCAATCAAATCCTGTGACAATTATGCCACGGCCTGGTTATCGTCATGGTAAGTTTTGGCCACAGAAGAAATGTCTGTTTATACACATAGTAAAGGTGAACACATTTTTTACATCCATTCATCAATAGGTTTTCCTCCTACATAAGATGCTTTATTATGCTTGCAACATATTCATACATGATTGGCAGCATCAGCGTCTTACACTTTGATACTGTGTATCATGTGCATTTTCTCTCACACTTCAGAGAGCAACGTCTCCCAGATCATTTAATCTTATTTCCAAGGTATTCCACATATCCTCCAACCTGACCGACAGGGGAAATTTTCCTTTCAGATATAGCAGTGCTATATTTTGACTATTTTTCTCCTTTGGTTAAAATGATATCTTCCTTATGGCCTTATATATGTTTTCTTTCTACCATCTTAAAAAGCCTACAGCCTCTAAAGTTAGTAAATAACCATTTACTGACTTTAACATGTAGTAGAATTACAGAGAGCAAATTAGAGCAACATGCCAGCATGTTCGCTCTGCATTTTTCTGCCAGGTGTCTTTCAGTGTCATTAGAGGTCAGAATAAAGGTCAACTGCAGTGCAGTTCGTATAGACTCAGTATCCTGCTCTAACATAGCATTGATTGGCATTTCTGATGTATTGCTTTGAACTCACCGCTTGTTAGTTTACAGCTGTAAGAGAGACACAACAACTTATGTACGCCTATGACCTTTCAGTTATTATTCAAAATAAGCTTGCCTGCCAGGGGATATTTTCAACATGACAGCAGAAACAGTATAGTTTGCTGTACAGATAGCTTAGACAAAGATATATTAATGATGTAATATGTGGTAGGAAGTGTAGTGGTTTCAAAGTGAGTGGTACTTAACCAAAGACATATCGGGACACATCTGTAACAAGCCTAAACAGAGTTGATAGCTGCACAACACACTTCCTCTTGTCAACCGCAGTTCCTGATAAGAGTGTGTAAGCTGAGTGTTTTACTGAGTTATTATGAAATAAAATGTGAAAATTAGGAAAGTGCGATTTGTTTTCACCTGTGAATAAAGTAGTCAGAAAATGTTTTTCATAATATCTGACTGGGTTAAAGCTTCAAGTCCGGGTAAGATGACAACTGCTTATCGTCAATGAGTGGAGACCAAAACAAGCTTTTTTTTTTAAACACTGGATTTATTCAGAGCTTTTTTGTAAAATATTTTTAGCCAATAATTTTCAAGAGTGGCAGCTCCAGCATCTGCAAGCAAAGGTTGGAATGTATACCCAAATAAATCGATGGGCAGGTATGTTTTTGTGTTTCAAAAGGGGTAGAATATAATACAGTATTTGCCATCAGTTGGTACAACAAACTCAGCACTAAGCACTGCCCAAAAAAAACAAAAAAAAAACAAAACAAAAACAACAGAAAAACATGCTACTTTACTGAATCGTGCTGACACTGGCCTTGTGTCAGAACTGAAGAGACACTTCTTTCCTCCTTATAGGTTAAAAAAGATTTATGGTCACAGAGGACAGAAGAACTGAAAGTTTAATTAAATCCTTTTCCATGGTGGTTGTTAAAGAAAGGTCACAAATGTTCAAACAGGATAAAATCCTGGTCGATAGTAAAGTCAAGTTGTAAGAAAGCAAACTACACTCGCACTGGTGTGGTTCTGCTGCACCACAGAATATGTTGCAGCACAAAAGGAAGTGTCCTATTGCATTATCTTATCTTTCAAAAGCAAAAAAACTCACAAAAGCATCTTAGAAGGGCACATGACCTAAGAGTGAGATAAAGAATGGATTACTAAGATTTGTGTTAAGAGGGACCAGAAGGCACAATGTTCCTTTTTGGACCCATTTACTGGGAGGCCATGTGGTTCCACAATACTAACCAAATCTATCTGTGAAATCACTGCAATCCTCATCTTTCTCATTCTATGGGATATGGACCTTTAGAGAAATGATTTGGCATAAGATTGAGGACACAGCAGTGAAGAGCAAAGGGCCAGGTCTGCAAGGGAGTCAAATATCCACGAGGGGTTGTAGAGCTGAACAGCTTGTGGCAGCCTACAAGCCGTCCTTCCCCAAAACTCTAGGGTTGTATTATCATATCCCCCCAACCTAGGCTCGACAAGTTCAAAAATTATACAAGTGGTTGATTACTGCAAATGCTGCCAAGACAGGAGCGAAGGTGTCAAGTGGAAAAACAACTCCCATCACTCTATTCATTGTTTCCATGAAATTTCCCTAATAGGCCATTTGCTCATCATGCAACTGGAATACAACTTGTTGCCATGTAAGATTTTGGAAACAAAGAGAGAAAAGTAGCGACTATGTCAAGAGATAAAACAGTCATAGTATTGATAACAAAATAAGAAATATGAGATAGTAAAATTTCCCAAAGATGATTACATTGTCCACCAGCCTTGTCCTTTTGCTGGAAGACCAAATGTTTCTGGATTGAGTGTCTGTGCCTTCTCTCCTGTCCTGTGGTGTTCAGTCTCTCTCACTCTCATCTGTCCAGCCAATCCTTTATTAGTTCTTGGAAAGCTCTTTGGATAGCCAGTCAAGTCCTTCATACAGCCCAGTGCCCTGGGTGGCGCAGGTTGACTCAATGTGCCACTGTGGAGACAGAGATTATATGGTTTAAATTAGGAGACTATGAATGCAGCTCTACATATGCTTAGAAAATATAATTCTACTGCAGGAGTGGGGATCGTGTTTCTATTCAGATAACTTACAGTTTTGTTGCGGAGGGCGTGTAGACCAAGTTTGTCTGTGAGTTCGCTGACTGATAAGGCATTGGGGAGGTCCTGTTTGTTAGCAAACACCAGCAAAACGGCATCTTTCAATTCGTCCTCCAGCAACTAGAGGGACAGAAAACAGAGATTATAAACCGTGAGACTTCATGTTAGGGCCAAAACACTAAAAACAGATCAAACTGTGATTTTATTTTATTTATTTATCTTTTTTTTTTTTTTTTTTTTAAATCACAAGAATTTCTCAAAAAGCCTAATTAAGTTAGAAGTAAAGAAGTAAAACATCAACTGTATACAGATATAATTAGAAATATGTGCAGCAAAATTGCAAACGACTGAATAAGAGGACAGCCAAAAGATGTTACACTAATAGTGGTTCATATGCCTGAGAAATAATACAAAAAGGGCAGTTTTGGGATATTCTGGAGGCTTAGGGGTCTAAGAAACAAACAGAACAACCCTGGTTTAAGTCTGACCAGGGACATTTGTTGCATGTGAAAAATTGGCTTTGATGTTCATCCCTCCTGCTGGTCTAGAGCACTTCAAGGTTAAAATAAAAACAAGCATGTAATATAATGAACTTAGACAATGTGAACCGGTTATCCAGTGTAAAATATTTCAACATGAAAAAGAATCCAAAAACTATGAATCCTAAAACTGGTGAGGTTAACCATGAAATCGTCATATGAAGAGATTCTCTTCACAAGATTATTGAGTCTTTACATTTCCCTAAGGCACAGACAAACATACTGTACAGGTTTCAGTTGTCCTATATACAGATCCCTGCAGTTTGAAGAATTGTCATCCAGTATCACTACGTTCCATGACACAAACAACACACAGAAAGTCCAGAAAACATAATGTGACTGATGTTGTAACTGGTGTGGGAGGGTCATTCCATATTTAGGAGGGACAAACAATAACACTTTTTGTTCTGATTTAACCCTGTCACAAAATGACACAACTAAATCAGAAATATCTTATCCTCATGTCATGACAATAATCTAAAATTATGAAACTCACAGTGCACACTAATAATGCATTACTCCCTACTGAGCTAAACATATTAAATACCTACCATCTTTGAAAGCTCTTCTGCAGACTCTGCCACTCTTTCTCTGTCATTACTGTCCACTACAAAGATGAGGCCCTACATGGGATAAACAGTGAAGAGGTTAGATTTAGTTCTGAATATAATTTAGTAATTAGATGAATGTACAGGTATTAAACACTGTTGATTACTGTAGATTACAAAGATTTTGAGACATTTGGAGAAATTAAGAATTTTTCAAAAATGTGAAAGATGTGCATCTTTCATTAATATGTTGAAACTGCATCAATCTTAACAGCAGTAAAAAGATAAGGCGCTGGCAGTGTGAAATAGAAGTTGTTTTTTTAATGTGAACATAATATTCATCTACTTTAATAAACAGTAGTAATACAGCCAAACAGAAAGAAAGAGAGCACTTGTTGACAAACACATACATAAGATAGAACCATTCCAGTCTACTGGGAGCAGCTGTTTCAGTACAATACTTGGGTGTCTGACTTCTAGTTTATCAAAGTATTGTACTATATTGTACTGAAACAGCTTTACTTGTCGGAGTAAAAGTATTTGAGAGCTGTGTATAACTACTGCCTCTCACTGACACTGCCATTTGCTGTTTGCTGTTACACAGCACTGGGACAGTCACACTCATACCTGTGTGTTCTGGAAGTAATGTCTCCAGAGGGGTCTGATCTTGTCCTGGCCACCCACATCCCATACAGTGAAACTGATATTCTTGTATTCTACTGTCTCCACATTGAAACCTTTGTAGAGGGAAGAGAGGGGAAATTTCTTAATAATACACTTGTATTATCAATGTGAGGCACATGTTAAACAATCAAAAGGAACAAAAATAAATTTAAAAGGTAAATGTTTCACTTACCAATGGTTGGGATGGTGGTTACAATTTCACCTAGCTTCAGTTTGTACAAGATAGTCGTTTTTCCGGCAGCATCCAGCCCAACTACAGGGAAGTGAAGTATGGTTAAAATCGACATTTGCATTGCATCAGAAGAGGACACCAGGGCTATGTATAACAACATGCTCTAAATTACATAACAAGCGTTTTCCTATAGGTGTAATCGTCAGACAGCAAAGGACATGCAATAACAGAGTACATGCGACTGCAAAAAGATAATCGTCTATAGCCTACTGAGCCATTTTCATTAATTAGTATGAAGGGGAAAAACAACCCACAATTATTAAATTTGATTATAACATTAATGTTTTTACTTGATCGAGAACATAGCACACCCTTAATGACCGGAAATAGAGCTGGGCATTAACGCAATACAATGACAGTTGTCCATCCAACGTCATAAGAAATTAGTTACCCAATACTCATTTTACTAACCGAAGTAAGGAAAAGAAGGCCAGCGCCATAACCAGTTACCGTCTAACAGATTAGGTTAACTAACAAAACCTAGCGTGAACATGTTTCTAGTAGATTATCAATAAACGTCTTTTCCTCAACTAAGTTCGCGTTAGGAAGTTTGGAAGAAATTATTCGATAAAAGACACACCTGACAACGCCAATCAAACCTCGTTTAAATAAAAGATATCATTATGTAAATACGATGTATTTAAATTTAAGCCGTTTTCGGGATACAGTTGCCGTTGGCAGATTTAATTGCCAAACTTCCTTCAAAAAACACACGGAACCCATACAGTAACGCTTGGTGGTGAAATTAGCTTGACCTTTTTTTTTCAAACAATAATTAATCAAATTGCTCTCAGTTGTGTTTTAATTCATATTCTATCCCAATGTTATACTTAAAAAGTTTTAGAAATGCATTACCAAAGCTCATCAAGAACTAGCTAACTACTCGTCTAGCTACAGCTAAAGCTAAAAACCGTGCATTGACAAACGCTAGCCAAACAAAGCTTTCACCTACCCATCAAAATCCTCATTTGTTTTTTGCCAAAGAGCCGGCCGAAGATTGACGAGATGGTGAGCCCCATAACTGACCGTGGATGTTTGAATCTATGGAAATAGCACTGATATTAGCAACGGCAGGGGAAAAGTGTGATGATTTCACACTGGTCCGGTTGCTCTGATTCAGGACTACTGCCACGTCCGGGCCAACGTGGAATCCATGACGTCATCAGTTTGAATCAACTTTATCAACACACACATTGACACCTGAACACGGCGACGTTTTGAATACACTTTTTTTCCCGACACATTTAAGCTCCTCTCTTTATATAGAATACCCTGCATCACCATTTTGCGGGAGATATACTTAAACACAATGGAAAAGACAACAAAAAAATGTTTTCATCTCGCGATATTAGATGCAAGGCTGATTCCTACCACTAGATGTCCCTTTAATACAAACGTTTATCATATGAGGGTGTGCTGTGAACCTACTACCTGGTTGCCTGACATCAGCAGGTAAATTAAATGAATGAGTCACTGCACTTTAGAGCCCTGTGTGTGTGTAAGAGAGAGAGAGTTTGTGTGTCTAAGGCTGGAAATGCAAGTAAAGAAATTGTCTGGACAGTAGATGATAAACATACAGCCTGGCAGTGGGCCAGATGAGGGCATATATATCTGTTATTTTGGTAGGAAATTTGGCTCTAATAATCAAGAGAGGGTAACTGCCCAAATAGCACAGAGGAAATTACATTTCACTGTTTTCTTGCCTGCCTTAATTGTCTTTATATCTTGAAAGACGGGTGGTAAGACAAGGAATATTCATATTCCACCTGGGGATTCTTATTTCAAAGTATTGCAGTGACACTAAGACATCTACAGTACAAATGCAGACATACAAGCACACTCCCACAGCAGGTGGAGTCAAAACAGCAGCACGTGACAAGGTGCAGATGTTTATAGAGGTGTGCTTTGATAGGAAAAGGCATTTTCAAAAAGACCTGTTATGGGGACAGGTTATTTAGCTGCTCACAAACAGAGTGTGACGTGTGGATAGATTGATCATTGGATATCTACCATGGAGCTCAATGGTACACTGAGTGGAGATCAGGTAGGTATTACACTGAATACTTTCGAGTATATTACAGAATGAAATGAAAATTTTTAGGAGGGAAATGATTGCCATACATTTCTGAAAACATATTTGCATTCTGTTTTTCAGATTGATGTTCTCTCTACTGTGTACTTAGTGTTACTCACACCCAGGTACTATGCTTCCTCATACTTTTTCAGTCTCGTGCATGCATCTTACCAGCTGTATTTACACAGTTGGCCTATTTCATGACAGCTGCCAAACCTGTAAGGTAACATGCAATAAGAGGCAGGCTTATGTTTCCTTTCTGAATACCTTCAGTGTTGCACGTTTCTGTTCTATTTAGGTCATTGCCACCCATGTTGCTTCCTGAAATTCAAATATTCAGCACTCAATTGTTGCTCACTGAATAGTTGCAGCTACTGCAATCTTATAAAAATTCCCTCAGTGAACATAATCACCATGCTGTTGCATCTTTGCTTATGAGTATTTAGCTCTCTTTCTTTAGCTTGTGACAAATGAAGCAAAACAATAAGAAAGAGAACAAACTGATGATGGAGAAAATGCGGGAAAAAAGCATTTCCCCAGCGCCTTCAGTTTTTGCAGAGCCTAGAGAAGCGTTAAGATTTAATGTGTGCACCCACATGTAAGAGTCACATGTGCCTGAGATAAGTTGTCCGTCAAAGAAGTCTGTCTCATCATCAGTCATTGACCTGTCCAATAAACCTATCCTCAGCTCAGTCGGCTTTGTGTTCCTCATTCCTTGTAAATCTTATGCACATGGTCAAGAATATGACCAAATTCTCTGATATGATATGATTGTGCTGCTATTCAATACTTCACATATTTCTGATTACCTGCAGTGTGATTGGGAGTTTTTCTGTCCTGGTGGTTTCCATATTGAAATGGAGGCATCTACAACAACAGGTGAGTCAAGTTGTATGTATTTGTGGATGTGTGTGTGTCTGTATTCTTGTGTTTGGGTTTGGTGGAATATGCTTTTGCCTTACTGTATTTTGTGACTAGTTAAAATGCTATATATATTATATGTTTGATAGTTTATTGATTTATTTTTTGCTCCGCATCTTATCACTGGAAGGTTTTTGGCATAGAGTGACTCAGTTTTCAGCAGATTAAAAGGCTGCAGAAAACATATTGATTTTTGTGTGTTTGTGTGTAGGTGCACTTGCTGGTGCAGCTCGCCCTTGCAGACCTCCTGGCTGCTCTGATCCTGATGTCCACCAGTGTCATGAACAAAATTGGAACCATCAACAGTGTAATGATCTGCCTATACAGCCTGCCACTGTCATTGGTGAGGGACCAAGCTCTTACCCTTACAAATAAATAATTTACAAGATTAATTTGCTTAAACAATGACAGGAAAGTTGTGAGACATGCCAAAAATAAGAGAGGCTTGGCTAAAAAAATCTGCTTAGATTTATGGTACTTTCCAGAGCCACTTGGGACTGAGAGGAGTCACATCATTGTAGCAGTAAAATAAGTCAAACACTTGTGTTCGTTATTATTCCCTCATCCTGAAAGGTGACACTGCATGTTTCATGTTGCAATTACTGTTTTATATAAGTGTTGCATTCCAAAAGTTTTATAATGTCTCTTTAAATCTATTGTGACTTACAGAGACAGCATTAACTTAAATCCAATGTTTTTTTAATTCACATTATATATTACAGTGATAAGGGCTAAGGGCAGAGTAGACATTGATTTTACATAAAACAAATAGAGAAAAGAATGTAATGTCAGAACAAAAACAGTGTTACGCAGTTTCATTCAGTTCGGGTTGTGGATTTGTTTCAAGATGTAGATATGGAAACTATTTAGCCTTTATCAAAAGTTCAAGTGTTTAAAAATAACTGTGTCTGTTTACATTTCTGAATTGACTGACCTGGAAATGAAGTCAGTTCAAGCCTGAGATTAATAATTTCCTCCACGTTTTTCATGTGTTAATATGGATGCAGAATATATGGACTCCAATAGGTACTGCAGTGAAGTTGTTATTCATTAAGATATTTAAGATGATATTTGCCCATAATAAAAAACTACTGAGGGGATAGATAGATAGATAGATAGATAGATAGATAGATAGATAGATAGATAGATAGATAGATAGATAATCATGAAGCATGTTTTCTTCTCATAACTAAAGTAAAGCAGCTTTTTTACGAGCTAAAGTGAATAATAAAAATGTCCTCACAAAAAATCATAAAAAATGTCCCCATAAACACAAAGAGCAAGTGTCTGAACTTGGTGGGAATATTGCTCTCCAACCTCATGAGGGAAACAAACAGATTTTGGATTTATGGAGTAAGACAAGGATGTTTTTGAGCTAGTCCACGGCTGCAGCAGCATTTAATGTATGCAAATAAATGTTTTTAAGTGATCGTTCTTTCAGCTTCATAATACATGTTGCTAAATCTGGCATTCACTATATATTCTTTGTGTGTTTGTCTGTTCTGTTCCAGACATTTTACTTTGTTTCATTTCTGCTGGTGGTGGTTTACGCATGGAAGTCGAAGAATGGAATCCAAGGATGGAGAGCAACGCCAGCAGAAAATGAGGGCGGACAGGTGAGTCGTCAACTACGTTCATAGATTATAATTTGTCCGGAGAAGAGTCAGGATGGAGTCATTCATTTCTTTCTTTCTCACTATCTGTCTTGGATTACAGAGTCAGTGTAGACAGAAAATAGTAGCTATACCTGTATATGCCATGGTGTGGTGAGTTTTGTTACTTATTTTAAATATTGTAATCCACTCATTAAACCACCTTTTCAGACCTTATGGATATCATCCCTGACAAACGCAACTGAATTCTGTCTCTCTCCCTGTCCAACATCTTAGGTTGATCCCCATTGCAATATACTTAGCATATGTTCTCACTCCCTTCATAAAAGCTGCTATGGTGATTCCAATCGCTGACAAATCACTAAGCGGGACCGTCCAAAGTGACAGCATGTACTGCACCAGGTGAGCAGACAACCTTCAAAGATTAACTTCTTCCAAAGTCACTTCTTTCAAAAAGTTAGAGAAATGAAATAGGTCTGTTCCCCTGTGTTTCTGACCTTTTTGATTTTTCTTTTTTCTCAGTTGTATTTTGTTCTTGCATGTCTGGAGGGACTCCTGCCCAGGATCTGTGAGTAAAAACTCTCTCATGACACACTTTTATACACTTGCTTTTAGCTAGGCTTCCCTGTATACTTTCATTTTCATTGGCTTTTTAAGAGCAGAGCAGCTTCTATTAATAAGCAATGTGTGTATGTGCTAACATGATTTTTTTTTTTTTTTAACCAGGAAAAAATCCATGACACTTTCATCAAAATTTTTCTTTTCCTTGTGGTGATACCAGTGATGCTGTCTTGCTCTGTAAGTCATAAGCAGTTACACTATCTTAAGAGGACATTTTTATTTGCAGTTTTGTAGTTGTGGCAATATAATTCAGATTTATAATTTTGCAATACGATCTAAAGGCTTGGGAAGTCTATTTACACGTGTGAGCAGAATGTAATCTTTTCTTCTTTTTTTTTTTTTCTTGTGTCAGGTCATTTACTATAATGTTGGTAAATGGTATGAAAGACATCAGCATCATGGTCTTTTTCCAGTGGAAGGAGACGGACGTTCAAGGAGGAGATTCAAAAGAATGATTTCTACAGCAAGAAATATGGTGATGGTCATCTTATTCTGTTGGACACCAGGTACAGAAACGCATTTAAAGATAATGTAATTCATTTCATTGGTTTTGACTCAACATCAGACTGATACTCTCTGTTTCCTCCTCCTGCAGCGCTTATCCTCATTCTGATGTCCACAATTATGATATGGATAAACATTGAACAGCGCAGACTATTTGGCCTTTACATGATACAGGTACATTTTCAAGATTTCAAATGACAGGAGAAAATAAGAATTTTTATCTGATGTCTGAGTTGCAAGAAAAAAAAACACTTTTTTTGTATATTTCAGGCTGCCACTGTGTCCCTGCAAGGTTTCCTGAACAGTATGGTTTACGCCTGGAGACGGCCAAACTTCACAGAGGCTGTTCTTGGGGAGAACACACCCCTGGTGCCACACAACCGCCTGGCCTTCTTTGATGAATCGCTCAGGAGTTAATCTTGATTGTTGACTCTAAACACGCGAAGAGAAATTGCTGGCACACCACACTGCTGGCCTGAGGAGGACCGACTGCCTGCACACTTCATGACTTCATGACAGTTTAGACTGAAAGATAAAATGCTCTCATTCACGGACTGAAGATGAAGAGAAATAGAACAAAAAGATGAAGGAAACACAAAGACCCTTTAAACAAGCAACAATTGATGCAGTGCTTTTCATTGCAACTGCTGAATTTTTCTTATAGTAAACAAAGTCATAGTAGCTTCGTTAGCATATTTTTTTGTATAAAAATGGGGACAAAAAGGACATTAATTGTATGACTTTGTTGTATTTATATGTGCTGTTAATGTTTTATCAAAGACTTAAAAGATGTCATACAGAATTATGGATGTGGTGTTTGATTTATATGTTATGTTTTATCAAATGTATTTGTAGTGTTTAATAAGGTGCCAGTTGTTACCTGCTGTTTTATTATGGACTTGTTATTCAACAGTACCTCAGCACTCTGTAGTTCAAGATAAGAACAATGGAAAACCTGTCGGGGTTGCACATATGCCGTCACCTTTCTGTCATTTCAGAAGCACATGTCACCTACCATAATATAGAGTTCAGTCTCAGGAGCACGGCACATGACAAGAGAAGGAACAAACTGTCTGCTTTGTCATGTCTGGGTGCAACCACAACGGTTAACTTATCTCATAAAAAATACTGTGTGGTTGTGCAACTGAGGTCTTATATAAGATCTTTCAGATATATAGTCTCACACACACACACACACGCGCAGGCACAAAGATCAGCACATTCTCAAGCTGTAGTATCTCAAACTCCATGACAACGTTGTAGCATGTTGAAAGACTGCAAGCCAACCTGTGATCGCCAGTTTATCTGCTGTACTTTAAAGCAAACGTGATGTGCACAACTCATCTGCTGAAGGCTATATGGCTAGCTACATGGGTTTGAGTTGCATATGATAAAAAACAAAATCTAACAACTGCACTGTTCAGACTGATCAGACAGGAATAACACACAGAGATAGATTTGAAATATGTCTGTCAAAAACATTATTTTTTCAATGTGTTTTAATGTGATTCAGTTGAGGCAAGATTAACAAACACCTTTGTATGATAACTATTATCTCAGATCCAGAAGTGCGTTGAGTCGCTTTACTGTAATAAAAATCCACACAGCCTGCATCCTCCACACCTGGTCACCTAATTATAGTTTCCTTGGAGATTCATTATCTGATGTGCATGAGATCTACTTCCTATTCATAGATGTTGTGATGAACAAAAGTGTTCCTAAAAAGCAGTCCTACTCAGCAAATATACAGTATGTCTACAAGACAAAGATTTGAAAAAATCTGAAAAATCTTGTTCCTGATAATAAAACCATTTGGTCAGTCCAGTGCAAGTCACTATCAATGACCTATTAATAGTATTTATCACTGATTGATCATCTTTTGGTCATATGTATGAAGTAGCCAACCAGAGTAAACCTTATATCATATTGTTCATTCTTGAACATATCAGGCTATACTAAAAAAATGAACTGCACGACAGGGTTCACTGGCATAAACAGCACCCATCCTGTAGCAACAAGACTGCATGTTCATGTGTTTATGTGTACGCGTAGTTGCTCCATTAATTATCTGCCCAGTGAATTTTCTGAATATGATGAATGAACCCTACAGATTTGCTGACTAAACTGCAAGGCTGTGGCCTAGAAATGACTCTGGATTTCTAAATATTTTCTGTCCTCCGGCTCCAAGGTTATTTATGCAGTATGGCACAGTGACCACAAAGCTGTGCCTGTGTGAGAAAAGGTAAAGCAATACATACATTTGTGGTCATTTTTGACACTTCTCACTTTTCTAATTCCAGTATATGAACAATTTCCACAAATTAATTCTCTGATCTTCATTGACATCATCAGAGGGTTACAACAAATTAAAAACTGTCTGTTATAGCCACCTGTCAAAGGTGCCCATGCTAATTTGTGGTCCTATATTATGATGACAAAAAAACCTACAAGGAAACACTGCAAACTAACCTCCAACTAAATTAGTTCAATTCCTTTTTCAATTACATTACTGGCACTCACTCTGATTACATTTTTTCTTTTCTAAATATTGGTCTTGCTAACCAACAATAATCTAAAATCCAAAGTTTGTTGGAAAGTCTGTCTACAGTCAAAAAAGAAAATTAAACAGAGTTTTCTAGTGTTTGATGGGATAGGAGTGCCAGTGGAGAGTTGGATGATACAGAACTATATTTTTGCAATCAGCCTTAAAGGTGAAACTCCAGCATACCTGTGTGACACACCCTTTAGAAGCACACGCGACTGCTCAGCTGTAAACAATGGTAAAAATAGCACGTAGACTACTAAGAGCTGTAAATAGTCATTTCACCTCCAGTATTAAAACCCTTCAGTATCAAATCAATGGTCAAAATATCACATAGACTACTAAGAGCTAAAGATTTGTAAATTTTTATAGCCTCCTGTGTTATTTTTCTGACTGCTTTACACACTACACAAAAGGATCCAGAGTTTGAGACCACGCATGTGGAGTATGAACAGTTGAAAAGTTCAACCCTGGCATCAGAGGGTTTTAAAACTGACTTAATACCAAATGCAAGATAAGACTTTTCCTAAACCAATGGTATGGAAATGTAGATGGTTATTCTTTAGCACAGGTAATAATAGATTGAACAAAAACTGGGAAGTGATTTTTCCACTGTTTGCTGAAAATGTTATCATGCTTCCTCTTAAAATATTCTTAATCTATTTTCTTTACAGTAAAATGTTTTTAACAAAATACATTAATCACAAGAATACACAGCATTCTCTTCTGTCAGATTTAAGTGAGACACACCCTCTCTGCAGTCTCTTTTCTTCCTCTCCTCTTTCCTGTAAATGTGTGACTGTGGCAGTGATTGAAAAGTTGCTGCTGTAGTACTAATGGTGCCAACCTTGTCTTTTCTTCTCAGAAGTCCATGGACAAGGATCTTTGCTGGGCCATTTCATAGTTCCCTCTTCGGCTTCCTGCTCTGCGCACATACACATCATATCTTGCATCCTCCTCCTCCTCTTCATCCTCCTCCATCACTCTATCCTGCCGTCCCACTGCTCTATCCCCCATACTGTGATGGCCCTGCATTCGGCCTGGTTTCATACTAGGCCAGCTCTTCTTACGCAGACTGCTGTTCAAGTCCCTGAAGGGAGGTAAGGTGCTCTGGAAGTCCCCTCTGAAAGGGGGAAGCTCCATGGATCCCCTTCCCAGTCCATGTGCACCCTGACTGGCTTTGATGGAGTTGACAGAGGCCTGAGAGCCACAGTGGTGCTCGTGTATGCAGCGTGAGCCTGATGAGGATCTCCTGAGCGCCTGCAGGGACTGGAGTTCCTCTGATAACTCCCCAAGGTCCCCAGAGATCTCCTAAAAAAGAATAACGTTGTCATAATTACAATTTTAAAAGGCCATGACCATGTTCAGGTAATACTTTATCAAAGTGATCAAACTAACCTTGTCTCGGAGGGTAAAAAGCTCATAATGCGGAGGATCAAACACCTCCTGGAAGTCGCCCCGCTGAAACAGATTATTCTTGCGGACCAACACCTGTAAAATATGATTAAACACACTTGGTAAATTAACTATTTCTACACCAAAATTTTGTGGCATGATTGTGACTTGTCTGTTACCTTTTTTCGTGGCTGTTTGACTTGCACCAGGATGGAGACAATAAGGAGCAGCAGCACCACTCCCGTAGACACACAGATTATTGTCCCGTGGGTCTTTGTGATCTGGTGAAAAACACCTTTGTTCTTTTTCTCTGGATGATGGAGAGAGGGATGAGGAGAGATAAAAAATATGAAGGCCATTCAGATGCACTGAGAGTACATCAGTCATCTACCCATTGCCATCCCCGTCAGGACGGTCTGTATCTTTGGTTGCCAGGATTAGTTCAGAGGCTTCACTAAGTGTCAAGGCACTGATAAACAGCCATCCCAGTCAACTGAGGTGCATAAGAGCCACTTATCAACCAAAATGCTTTTAGCTGGAAAGGTGCCTAAGATGATAAGAATCTACTTCCCCTACCAAGAGGAAATATTGTAGGAATTTTCTGTAGTGTCCAACATTGACCTATATTCACTGCTCCATGGGACCAGGGTGAAAAATTACATCGGAGACTTGCCGGGATATTTGAGAAAAAGGATCCTCAAAGGAGGGTCAATGTGACACAACAGAGCCAGACATGACATGCATCATCATATTGTCATACAACATGGCAGAATTTCGAAGGAAGAATCACAAAGTGCTTCAGCACAACAGGTGTACCTTTGCAGTTGCTCTCATCCCAGGGAAAGACACAGTTTTGTATGCCGTTGCACACCAGAGAAGTGTTGATGCACATGTTACTGTGGCAAAAGAACGCACTTCCTGCACAGGGTGCTGAAAAACAAACACAAGTGTATTAGTACATGTTGCAAGCAAGCTGATAAAGCAACCAAAGAGATAAACAGTAAAAGGAAGTTCTATCTATTTCCTGTACTTCTTTGTACTCAGGTTTGTGTAATAGGGATTCCATTTATAAAGCACTTCTTGAATTACATTTATGCTGCTCTCTTTTCAAAAGGATACATGGAAATCCAGAATTTTGTAATATTTTTTAAATATTATACAGTTTAATGCATTCTCTACAACTGCCACTTTTCTCTTAAAAACCTGCATTATTGAATAGAAAACACAAGCAAGTGCTATTACAGATCTGTTTGCAGTCCAGGCCACACACTGTACTTTCCCTCGCACAGCAGCTGTGACCAAACAAAAAGGACATTGGTGGGAAATGTAAAATGACAGAGATTAAGAGTAACTGAAGGAGAAACTCACGGTCAGCAAAAGATGTGAACAGCATACGGAAACGGCTGAGACGGCTTGTCTCATCAGCCCACATCCTCACTACTCCCACACCAGTGTCCAGCATGATGTCATTAGCTACTGTACTACAAAACTTGGCCTGCAAGAAACCACACATTATTTTCTCTCAGAGTTTTGGATGTGCAGTCTCATTGAGGCCAAGGTCTGTAGAACAGTTGCTATATATTTCTGATTGAAATGTGATATGAAACAGGAGGATACATGGCAAGGAAAGACGGACTGTTGTGTAGCAGAAGGAGAGAGAAACTCAGAACTGAGAGAATAATAAAATACTATATGCAACAAATAAAGTATATCAGATCAAAGGGCTTTCATTTTACAGTACATATTATATCATAAATGATTATTCAGTATATTACCTTGAGGTCCTCAATGGCGTTACTGCCATCATAAACAGCCACAAAGTTCTTCTTACATTCATTTGAGTTTTCCATCTGGTATTCCAAGAATCGCAGGTAAATCTGGAATAAAGAATGTGGAGGAAATACATGGTACATTTTGTTCATTTTTCATGCAGTTTAGTGTATTTTTCTTTGCTATAAGAAGACATATCTGCATTACAGGTTCAAATATAAATCATTTCAAGCCAGGTTTACTGCACGTGCCCTAATGTTGACTGCTGGATTATCAGCCTATGTTTGCTTTATACTTCATGTGCACATACATGTAGGTCAAGCTGCAGATGTACTGTCTGATTATTTGATGATAAAATACGTAAAGTGCATTTATCTAGGGTTTGTGTGATAGGAAGTTGAATTCTTTGTCTTTCTGATTATGTAAAGGCTGTGGAACAAACACCCATCACAACTGATGAAGAGGTATGGAGGACGCACAATGCACTGCAGGCTGGAGACTCGTCTTTTCAATCACTGTGTTGTCATTTTGTTCCCAATGAATCATATCCCCTCGCATCAACAAAAGGTTGGTTTTTTTTGTTTTTTTATCTCCCCTTATTTCTTACCATACCTTTAATTTTCTCAGCTTTTCTCTCTTGTATAATCATCCTGATCACTCCCTGTCCCTGCCACTGCATTCTCTGTGCATCTTGTATTACTGATTATGTAGGAAATTAGTTGTGCATCAGCTAAATGGCAAAGATGTTACAATATTAGTGGTGCAACTGAGGATTCAATTACTAAATAAATCATTATTTTCATTATCCATAAATCTGTCAGTAATTTTGTTGACGAATCGATTAGTTGTGTGGTCAACAGAAAATAGTGAAAAATGTCTGTTACAATTTCCTAAACCCCAAGATGACGTTTTCAAATGTCTTGTTTTGTTTGAGTAATTGTCTAAAATCCATCATAAAACATTCAATGTATTATCTAAAAGACAAAGAAAAGTTGAAAATCATGGCATCTGAGTGGCTGGAATGAGGGAATATTTGGTATTTTTGCTTGAAAACTGACTTGATTATCAATATAGTTGCAGGTTAATTTTCTTGTCAATCATCTAATCAGTTAACTGACTTATCCTTTAAGCTCTAGAAATGATTCTGGATTTATAAACATGTTCTGTCCTCCAGCTATGGCACACTGACCACAAAGCTGTGCCTGTGTGAGAAAAGGTAAAGCAATACATACATTTGTGGTCATTTTTGACACTTCTCACTTTTCTAATTCCAGTATATGAACAATTTCCACAAATTAATTATCTGATCTTCACTGACATCATCAGAGGGTTACAACATATTAAAAACAGTCTATTATAGCCACCTGTCAAAGTTGCCCATGCTAATTTGTGGTCCTATATTATGATGACAAAAAAACCTACAAGGAAACATTGCAAACTAACCTCCAACTAAATTAGTTAAATCCCTTTTTCAATTACATTACTGGCACTCTCTCTGATTACATTTTTCCTTTTCTAAATATTGGTTTTGCTAACCAACAATAATCTAAAATACAAAGTTTGTTGGAAAGTCTGTCTGCAGTCAAAAAAGAAAATAAAACAGAGTTTTCTAGTGTTTGATGGGATAGGGGTGCCAGTGGAGAGTTGGATGATACAGCACTATATTTTGGCAATCAGCCTTATAGGTGAAACTCAAGCATACCTGTGTGACACCCTTTAGAAGCACGTGCGACTGCTCAACTGTAAACAATGGTAAAAATAGCACGTAGACTACTATGAGCTAAAGAATTGTAAATTTTCATAGCCTCCTGTGTTATTTTTCTGACAGCTTTACACACTACACACGTTTTTAACAAAAAAATACATTTTTGTTAAAATGTATTTAACAAAACAATATACTATAGCAAATGCCGTACCCTGTTGTTTGTTGGGGCTCGTATAGTCCAGATGCAGTCCACTGCCTGGTCTGGCCTCACTTTGTACTCCTCCTCCACCTGACTGGAACGGATCAGGCCGTCAGCCCCGGACAGCTCAAACTGACAATCTGCCCCACAGACGGTGACCGAGGACAATAACACAGAGGCAGAGACAGTGGAAACACACGAGGGAGAAAAGGGGGATTAGGGATGGTAGTGAGGGGAAAGTGCCATGACTTTGCATCACATGTTCATGTAAAAAAAATCATTTGAGTAGGTTTGTAGTTGCACTACCTGGGATAGGGTTTAGAAGTCCTCCCACATGCAGATGAAATTCAGGGTCTATGGGGGGAAATCACAAAGATGAAGAGAGATATCACACTAAAGGCCATCATCGGTCAGAATGCAGATATTTGATTGGCCAATAATAGCAGAGACATTTGATTATATCATTATTTAAGCAGACCAGATGAACATTCAGTGAGTATCAGGATGGTGCAGTGAGAACACTGCCATACAGGGATCAATAAACCATCCCACTGTGTTTACATCACCTGCAGTAAAGCTGTACTGGACCTGGAAGCCGATCCCCTCCAGCTCTTCATCACTGAAGAAGCGAATCCACATGAAGCGTCCGCTAGAGAGGACGAGCCCTGGGTTGGCTGAGCCACAGAAGCGATTGATGAGTGGCGAGAAGCTGAATGGACCGTCCCGCACCTCGATGTGGTCAAAACGACACTCAAAAGACGCCTCGATGTAGAAGGCGTCGTCAAACAGCAGCTCTATTCTCTGGCGGGGCAGGGCTGGGGGAAGCATGGTGGTATGTCACTTCTACTGCCACAGAGGTCAGCCAGACAGATAATAAGACCTTAGAATGGCGATAAAAATGTCTGCTCCTTTAAGATTACCTTCGGTTTTGCTGATTTTTCATATAGTATTACTAGATCAGACTTTTGTGTGGCTTTGTTTTGTTGATTCCAATAGCAATTACAGGGAAAGTGACGTACAAAATGACAGCAGGGTTTGACATATTCTTTGGTGTGCAAGATAATGAGATAAGATAACTATGAAAAAGTTATGTCCTGCCAGCTTGTTTGTACTTTAACAACCATAGAGGGAAATGACTTTAGCATTGCATATAATGACTTGGTCAGAAATGGGCTTTGTTGCCAAGACAGACAAAACAGCATAATTTGTGACCAATTTATAATGAGCGACGTTGATGCCATTTTTGAAGGAAGGAGGCAACAGAAACAGCAGCTTGAATTCTTTGTCGTCTTGCACACAAAACAAATGAAATAGTGTTTGCGGTGATGCCTGCTCTCCATCAGATTCCCTTTAATTAATACCAGAGCTCAAGAATCTGGCCCTAATTCAATGTCCAAATCTATAACATTCACAAAATTAGAACAGGAGCTACATTTTTGGATCAGGCTGAGGCACATATTGTTGGTTACCTTCCAGTACGTAAAGGCACTCCTTGTTGGGAGGGTACGTATTCGGGTAGTTGGGGGAGCTGAAGGTGCCACCATCTGTGTTTCGTACCCAGTTCCCACAGTGACGAGAATGCTGTGGCTGTTGAGAAGGTTTAGCTCCTTTTGATCCTGCTCCACCATCTGCATGTGAAATGACATCCAACTGAGACATGATATTCTGACAGTAAATCAGATCTTTTCTTTAAAAATATACAGTTAACGGTACCACACAAAGACTAACGACATCTAAGACAGTGCTGTATGTACCTACCTGTGTAAAAACCTCACTAATCTATAGTTAAATTAGAACATGTGTCTTGATTTAATGAAGGTATCAATCATACCTTTAGTCTTTTGTGCCAGAGCAAATCCCTCCTCAATGACCAGGAGAAATATCCAGACTGTAAAAGAAGCCCAGAGTGTGTGAGGGGGTAAAATCGAGGAATAAAGGGAAGAGAGAGAGAGAGACGGCTTTGCAGAATTTCTGTGTCTTTGCTTGCTCTCTCCTCTGAATCCCTGAATGTATACAGCAGACCAGGGGTTTGGAGTTCAAAAGCTTGGCAGGAAGAGAACAAGGACAAGCTGCTTCCTTATAACTCTTACTCCCATTTCTGCATCCTTCTTTTTCTTTGCTGGTTTTTTTCAAGGTTTATATGTAACACAGTGGATGAGAGCTGAGACTGTTGACAATCTGCTGACTGCCATGTGTGCTGTGCAAGGACGTCTAACGGCAAATAAAACATAGTTTCTGTTTCATGAAACCTTATCTTGTGCCACATTTGTGCCCTATTACATAAAATATGACCTAAATAGAGCATCTTGCCTGAGGGCAACGGGCCACTGAAATTTGCCTTGAGTTTTCACCAAAGTGGCAAGTTGACATGTTGGCATGTTGCTGTGAATGTCCAGTGACAAACTGCAAGTCACAGGACAGCAGTGCTAAACAGCTATGTGCTGATTTCTGGCCAACGGTTCTTTTTCTTTTTGATGATTTATTGGTTGCGCTCACATGGGCCCCTTCATGTTTTATTCCATGTTGCCATGTGTTATGTTAAAGTAAATTTAAAAAACGATCCAAGGATTACTTTCTATCCCTACTAATCTTGAGAAAACCCCAAATGAGAATCTGCATTATAGGCTGCTGTCACAAATACACTACTTCTTACAATGAAGCAGGCAGTGTTTTTGTTCAATGAAGAACCACCTCCACAGAAACCATGTTCAGTGTGTGTGTGTGTGTGTGTGTGTGTGTGTGTGTGTGTGGAGGAAGAACTGAGGCAGCAGCAGACTAAATAGTCCTCCTATCACTGGCCCACCGCAACCTGGTGAAAGGTGAAAATAAAATTTTTCCTTTTGAAGAAAATTGGGATTTTATTGATCTTCGTAGTTCTCTCGTGTAAAAAACATAAATATATTACAGCAGTAAAACGTGGCGCATTGGGAGCTGTCACTTCAGCACCATGAATGGTTCCACCAGAGAAACTTTCAAAACAAACAGATTAGTTTGGCATTTTCCTGTCTTTTCAAAAATGTCTATAAGTAATATGGATGTCGTAATCACTGTGCAGTTACCGTGGAGTTTTTTTCTGTCTTTATTTTATTTTATTTATTTATTTTTTTTAAATAGCGTGATTGTGATGTCGAATTATTTTTGTGCGCGGATAAAAACCTGAAAATACCAGGAAGTTTGTGAACAACGCACACAAATGTGTTAGAAAAAAAAAAAAAAAAAGATTGATCACAGATTAGAAACGCCCGTCTCTCCTACATCTCTCATTCTCCCCTAGACACAGAGAGGAAAGGCACAGTTTCACGAAACGCCCTAAAATCATGCGAGTATGAATAATCCCACTCACCTACACGCATCCTCTCAGAAGAATTCCGTTTTCTGGCTTTGGATTTCAAACTTGACCAGGTTTGAGTCCCTCACATCCCCCTGCCCGTTTAAATCAATGGTCCGGATTAGCGCATGTTAGAACCACTGATTTCCAAAGTCCAACTTTCACCTTTTCATCCTAATCCTATTGGTCAATATGAGAGAGGTTTCTGGGGCAAAAAAGAGCTGATGTAGAACTTCTGATTTATTATCGGTCTTCACTTAGAGAGAAAAAAACTGTGAGATGAGCAGAGTTTCCCTGCGCAGAGACGCTGTTACCGCAGAGCTCAAGTCTGTATCAGTCTGACTTCTCCTCTTAAATGAACAGATGATCTGTCTGCGGCTGCTTGCGGTTTTAAGATTGGGCTCAGTTGGCGCGGGAAGGGGGAAGAATTGATTGCGCATGTGCATAATCATACATGAGTAATAAGTGATATGATAATCCTCACATAGCCTGTCTGGCATATTGATGAATTGCATTATGAATTAACATTTTATTTTAATTTAATTAGCTGATATATGGCAAGTGTCCAGAAGGGGACACACACACACACACACACACACACACACACACACACACACACACACACACATACATACATACAGAGGACACCTGTGCCAAAGAACTCAGTGAGCATAAATCAGTCACACATTGAATTCCTATGTGTGCATTTCTATGCAGAGCAGAGAGCAGGGCACATTCACTGTTGTCTTTTCTCATTTTTCTGGAAGGACACAGAGCGCCTGCAGCCTTAAAAAAAAAAAAAAAAAAAAAAAAAGGCGTCGTGGAGCTGCAGAAAGACAAAAATGGAAGCCAAGAGTTGGTGGGATGGAGAGATTTTCCTTTGATGTGTTGCCTTATAACAACAGAACCTGTCACCATGTCCAGTGGCAGATTCGTGACTCATGCAGCAGCTGATTGTAATTGCTTTGAATCAGAAGCTTTGGACAATGCAAGGTTGCTCCTGGCAGCCAAAGGCAATCTCAATCTGACAGATGCCTGAGTGTAAATAAGTGGTACATTCTAATATCCTAACATCCTGGCCTTTCACACTCACACTTGGATGGTCATATGCATCTGTTGCCTACTACAAACCTATTTTTGATGCTTCTTTTAAAACAGACTGCCATTCCTCATATAAGTAACATAAGCCGAACTACGACTTAAAACAGCAGACACTTTAATTTCTAGTATGATGACAAATGACAATTACAGGATGATAGTTAATGCTGAAACACTTTGCCACTGTAGCACAAAGAGCCATAAATTCACTGAACTGACTTAGTAATGTCACTTACACAGCAATATCTATCCTACGTTGCTAACATTAGTTGATATTATAGCAACAATAAGTTACTGGTCATACCAGACCGAGATTGTAAGATTGTATCAGCATTGTAACAGCTTGGTGTATTTAATTAAGCAATGTTGTGTTTTATCGCTTATGAATTTAACTTACAACAACGACTGTGTTATTAGTATTTTCAGAAATTACATAGTATTACTTTAAGTAAAAGTCCAGAAGTACTGTCAGTAAATTAAAGAATCAAAATTATACAGCAGAATGGTTTCTGAATAGTCTCACTGTGACATAGGCTATTTTAGTGTTGGATTGATATTACTGATAAATTAAATGTGTAAGTAGTAAGATATATCATTGGGCTGTTTAATCTGAACAATTCATCATATGTCATAAATTGATCATATGTAAAATCTTTGTGTGCAAGGTAACTAGTATCATCAGATAAATGTAAGTAAAAAGTACAATATTTCCTTCCTAAATGTAGTAACATGAAAGTATATCAGAAAATGTAAATACTACTACAACGATAATAAAGTACAACTATGTAAGATTTTAAGTACAGTAATAAAGTAAATGTACTTAGTTACATTCCACCACTGTTTACCAGATACAAAAAGTAGATGTGGCGCGATCAATACTTTTCAACCAATGTGTGTAAATTTATGTTGAAAACCCATTATTTGTGTTTTCCCGGATGATAATGATCTTTTCCTTCCCTGCTTCTCTGAATTTATGTTTCTCACATAAAACTTCTCAAACAAATTCAAGTAAGACAGAAGAAAAACAGCAGCCACCAAACTTCACAAACAATCGGCAAACCACAAAGCAACACATCCTATCAGAAAGCCCACGGGCCATATTTTCAAAGTCTCCAAGGCCATCATTATTCAGTAAGGTGGGACCAATTTTTCCTCAGCAGTAACAACCTCAGGGTAAATTAATTCAGGAGGAGATGAACAAACTCACCCACACAATATATGCACCATCATAAAGTTGCATCATCTGGGCCTGTGTTTAAAAATGACACTGCTCCCTTATGATTGATGACAAAGTGAAAGTGTTGCCTCAGAGACGCATGAATCATTTAGTTTATAGGACGTGTTTGGTTTGGGAGGGCTGCTGAGACACACTGCCTCATCTGAGCTGCCTGACATTTGAACCACAGCGAGAAAGTGCAAGTGACGGGTCATCGACAAGCTTCGATGAATACCAGCTGTTGCTCTCGTGACCAGAGGCCACAGTTGGCTACTATCACTGTTTGTCACCCTCTGTCCGTCCGTCGCCCAAGCCACTCGTAAACACACATGCAAACTGGCAAACCGACAGGCTACACATACACCTATGTTTACTGCACATCAAAGGTATTAAAATCTGCATCTGTTGCCATGGCAACCGGGCTGGTGTCTTGCCTGCTTCTTCTAAGGCAATCAGAGACCTAGGAAGCAAAGGTTTTTACAGGGTTTGACAGAGACGAGGATGAAAGCGGAACAAAAGACAAAATCTCCCGGTCTGTCTACCTGCACTGCTGCTGCTAGTGGAAGAAAAGCTTTGTGTCATAGTAACCTAAAGCCAGTGGGAATACTTTTAATCCCCCTGTGAGTTACTGTAATGTTGGGAAAGCTTTTGTAATACCGAGGTGTCCTTGAATCTTTAATTTGCCTTGTCCATGCACACTACTGCAGCCCTGTCATTTTTCTGGGTTTTCTGGGTTTTCAGGGTGTTGAATGTGTATGGGTCCTCTGTGTATGAACTATTAAACGAGCTGATGAAAAACCGTATTCTACGATGTAAATGCAATGTTCCTGATTTGCTTAATTGGTTGAAAACAAGTTTGCTGTTTTGTACTTACTGGGATGCAACTGAAGCTTTGCAGAAAACTATTGTCGTTTATTTTGGCAAAACGCTCTATCTCAATCTCATCTTGTTCAACTGGGCACACTTTATATGCGGAGGAAGATCATGTAATACAATAGAAAGCTCCAAAAGAGCTTCTCATGGAGCCAGTGGTGAGATTATTGTGCCAACTTGAAATCTTAACATAATTTATGAATTAAAAAAGTTGAAGAAACCTTTAACTCTTGTATCAATAGCAAACAATGCATGGTGAATGGCATAATTAATCCTAAGTAAAGCTTATAACAAAGAGTAACTGCACAGAAGAACATCATCTCAATGCCAGTGCCCAAAACCTAATATAACCGAATCCTCAAAAGTACTAACACTCCTCCAGCAGCTGTACATAAGACTCATGCATTACATGTAAGAAAAGAGGTCAACTGTGATGTGAAGATAATCAGACAGCTTTTTGTAATATCACAACCTTTTTGGCAAATGCATGTGTAACCATCGAAAGGAAGGAAGAGACAGTAGAAGAACTAAAGGAGGACAATGAATTCTAAACTGTTCGTTTGCAGGACCAGGGTTGTAATTAGCATTTTGATTGGAGTCTTACCCAGGCAAGTGATTGCTCCTATTAGCGTGTGCTTAAGGATGAAATTAACATCTTTAATTTGGCATGGTCTACAGTTGAGTGAGCCAGGTGACACGGCTGCACACTCCCTTCATTCTCTCGTTTTGTTGTCCTTACTGTGAAAGAACACATGCATGTACCGTGTGCATGAGTGCATGTATGTGCATGTGCGTGTCTTGTGTTGAAAATAATTTTGGTTGTCTGAAAAGAACAATGAGCTTCTAAGGACAGGGTCATTTTTAAGGTCAGGGATTACACAGCAGGACTTTTCATGCAGTTCAACAGAAACGTGTCACAGTGAGGTTAAGAGGTTTCCAAGCACATAGTAATACACTATCTGGACTTGCTTTGAATCCGTGCCACTGTTGCTCGATCTGCTGGTCGCAGTAAAACACAACAGATTGCTGAATTTAGAAGAAAAGCACTTTTATCAGCTTCCAAGGAAAAGTCATTAAGATACCACCACGAGCCTGTGATTGGCAGGAAATCCCTGTGGATTTGGCCTATTACTGTTGATGAGGAGGCACAGTAGCCTACAAGTCCCGACTTTAATAGGGTGGAACAGATTACTGCTTCCCAGTGACTTCTCATTTATCATCACATTGATTTGTTTTTGGGGTTTTTTTTGGTCCTCTCAGACACATTTTAGCGCGACAGATTTTATTGCCTCTGCGCCCGCCATAAGCATTTGATGTTACAACTGCAGATTATGTTCCAACTAAACACCCTCATGCACAGTCCACTGTGTTAAATCCTACAATCAGCTGGGGACACAAACACAGGTCATATAGTGTCTCAAAAAATACCTTTACCTCAACGTACATTACACATAACTTACTTTTTTCCTTACAGCTTTTCATCAAAACCATTCTCTATGTATACATTTTACTTGAAATTTAATCATCACATAGATAATGCCTTACATAATAGTCAGCTTAAGTTTAGAAGCCAGACTGTCCCAGGAGACCCAGCCACTGAGAGTAAACACAAATATCTTATTCCTAGACAGATTTAGATATATGTGATATCATTCAGCAGGAAGATGCTGAACTCCATTGTTATCTTTGGCCCATATGACAACAGATTAGAAGAAACAAAAAAGAAGCAAGAAGAATGACCTCATCAAACAAATGTCAGAAAACAAGTATAGATTAAGCCTTCGAAAACATTCCAAAGTCAAATCCATTGCAAGATAAGTTTGGTTGGTTACTACACATTTGAGACAGAGCTCCTTAATTCACTTTCTCCCCAGTCCTGTGCCTTTACATTATTTGTATACTTCTCTGCTTTCCAATCTCCATAATCTGTTTATGCTCATCCTCA